GTCCGGACCACTTTGTCCAGATGCCAACCGTAAGTGTGAGCAAAAGATCGCCTTTCGACGGCATGTTTGCGGTCACGGCAAATACTTGTCGCTAATGTTTGCATACCAAAAATAGGTATCCGGATACAGTAGATGTATTGTAGTCAGGCACTTGGCAGACATAACAAACAAGTAAAACAAGCAAAGCTGGCGTTGGAAATTTTTCTAAACGTGTGGAGCTGGAGCTCTCCATGCGGGATGAAGTGCTTGGTCACTTCCAACAAATAAGCAACATCGGTTGTTACATGCAACTTCCCTGCTCTCTCACATGTAGAAGCTGCCTTGGCTTGCACCTTCCACTGTGAAGCGACCCGCTCGCTCGATGGCTATGGCGAGCGCCGAGAAAACGCTTCTACAGAAACCTCCTTACAAATCCGTTCGGTAACTGTGATTAAGAAAGCATGGAGGGCATTAGAAAGAGGTAGAGAGAGATCATTCCATGGCTGTGGTCGTGTGGATTATCTCCCGTCTTTCAGATCAGAGACTCACGCTGCGACCAGTAATTTAAGAATATGATAAGTAAGATCTGTCGGCGCTGTCTTAAAAAAAAAGATGGCGATGGAACCTCGACGTAGAGGCCCCCTAGCGTTTGCTAAAGTGTCTGCAGCTGGGCGTAGAGAATGCAACGCCTGCGTGTGGTGTCGAACGGCAGAGTGTATTGTAGACCTCTAACAATGTAAAGTACATCTTTCTACGTCATTCATTTGCATCGCCAAATGAAAAAAATCGTGTTTGCTGTTAAAGTACAAAGGACGGCCGGAACTTTCACCATTTCGCCAGCTCGATGCTGGTGCGGGCATGAAACTTTAATTAAAAGTGCTCGCTCGCCACGTCTTTATTTGCCCTGAAAACTTGAGCCATCAAGTGCAAAGACGTCCTCCAGCACGAATTTGGTAAAGGAGCATGGGACCAATTATTTTGCGTTGAGAATGCTAGATCGGTTTCTGTGCTTGATTTTTCGTGGCAATCGGCTGCCAATTCGCCATGTAGAAGCCTTCGTGAATGGCTTCTCGTATGTAACCTCAGGCAACACTTACATGGTATGTGGCGCCTAGTAGAAGTTGTACATATACGCAATCCGTGGCGTCTGATCGAGCAGCAACAGTAACCCGCTGTAGGACGCCCCTACAATTTTTAGAGAGAGCATGGGGCCCAGGGGCTCATTTCACGCCACCGCACCACGCTTTTGCGGTCTACAGCACGACCTCGAGCTATTACTGCACCGCTAAGCGACTAGGGACCACAACAACGTCCTGGCAACAACGTATCAAATGGGTCGTGGAGATTCAGCTGCACGGCAAGATGGAGTATGCTCCTTGTCGCAACAATAGAGTACACAACCCCTGAATTCTTGCAGAAGGACGTATCACCTGATAACGCACACTATTAGTAAAGGTGGCCACTGAGTTAGTAGTGACACTGACCACTGGGTACATGTAATATCTGGATCAATGATGCAGTCAGTGACCACTGGATCTGGATCAATGATGCAAGCAAATCAACCGACGATTCCGAACCTCTCGTCATCATGACGTTGCCCGATTCGAGGCCGCTA